AAAAGTAACTCAATGACGTTATAATTTTTGGGACATTTCGGCATGTAGCGTGTCACGTGACCAGTTCAATTGGCTTTTAGACATACCTCGGTTGCCCTCGATCTCCAGTCAACCTGAATGGAATACGAACAAAACCTAAATCAACTTGTTTCATCTGTCGTACAAAGTCCTCGTAAGTAAAGCTGGGTTCGACCAAGTTTTCCACTGATTGACTATCACGAGTATACAACTAATAAATGTATCATCTTTAAGAAGACACCTTTAAATCCGACTAAATCATGTAAATAATTTAGTCTATGTTTATTAGATTTAATTTGTGAATAAGTTTTGCACACTTGAAATTTATCTGTATGAGTAGTGAATCAATAGTCTGCATCTCTTCCCATACATTATATGAATGTATGGTGAATGATGATTAGAAAGCTAGATAGGGATTTTTATATAGATGATAAGCAATTTATTAATTTCTGTCACCGAATCTCAAAAAATTAGATGATAGAATCGATAAATGAGATATTGAGGTGAATCATAGCCACGATAATATTCGCACAGAACTCATAAAACCTATTACTCTAACGAGCAGTAACTAAGAAATCTTAGATTTTGGACTTGGTTCTACGTAATATCATTATTAATGTATGCTGGGTTAAGTTCATTGTTTTTGGTTGAATTCGGTATTTCATTTGATAAGACTGATAAGTTGTGTACAAAGTTTATTTCTGAAATGGTGTCTTCATCAAAATTAAGCAGGACGAAGGTTTTTTTGTACGCCAATAAATATTAAACATAGGATAGATATAAATTTGACAATATCAAAGAAGTAATGATGTTCCAACACCCGGTAGTCACGATTTACCAGTTTATCTGCAAACTATACGCAGTTGGAGAATATCTAGCTTTACTGGTGACAAGTACATTCATCACCTAAATAGATCATAACATGGGCGAATGTCTTATGTAACCAAAAAGTTGAAATCATTAGATTATTCGTCGAGTGTTCGCGAACGATTATTGAGTAAGACTATACGCGGTCTAAAATGGCCGTTACTGAAATCAACAGATAGCAATAAAAAATAAATTTAGTGAATAATCAACTAACATTGATTCACTAATTTCTTGACACATTACAGACAACAGTCTCCTTACTGACAACATCGGTTAACCCGAACTAAAAGAACACCTACCTCACCCAAATGTTTGCCGTCTTCCACAAAAAGCACAGATCGCTCATTCAGTACAATTGCTGAATTAACAGACCGAATGACAACTGAAAGGTAAATTGAATTTTAGATAAGATGTAACAGTAAAATAAATTGCTCAGATGAACTAGAAAACATAGTGTCCTAGAAATTTTTCATGCATTCCATACATTTCGGACGCTGATGATTAGTACAGTTGTGAGCATGGAATCGATCCATAAAACGTCCAAGACAGTATAACATGGACTTAGTAAACTCTAACCACATACCTACTCTGAATATCAAAGTAATCTGCTGTTTACATAGCCCATACATGATAACATTTGTTTGCGTCTACCAAGAATAATTTTTGACATGGTATTACCATTTAATTTTAAAACTGATTCAAGGAACAAAACAGTTTACCGTATTTATCAAAAACTTGGGAGATTTTTCCGAGTAACGAAAGTTTTACATCTGCTGCCTAAGAAATTTAACAAATACAAATAATGCATACAATTACCAAGTCTTTCACGGACTGTAAGACATAGTCGGGTGGGATTACGAAGGCTGGATCTCTAGGCTGAAAATTGCACTATTAGATGGAAATACAACTATACTTTCTGGATCACAGGTTTTTCAATTGATTCAGGCTCACTATCAGATGAAATCTCTGAAGATGAAGAGGTTCCATGGTTCGTAAAAAGCGATTCTGGCTTGTTCATATTTTCGGAAGAACTAATCGTAGCCAAAACAGGTTTCTAAAATCAGAATTGTTATATTGTAATAAATGAAAAGATAGTTATGTAGACAATCTAATTTATAATCTATTCTACGAAAAAAGCCGGAACGGTTCGCTTCAGATATCGGTTACTAGTTATCCCACTTTACAAAACATTGTAAAAGTTTAAATTCACTCTGATCATGTAACTATGATGCAATTCACTGACAGTATATGACGAAAGACAGGTTAGCATTCCTTTAAACGGCTGAAATACGCTTTCTGAAGAAACATAGATGCCTGTAGTAGTGTAGAAACTCGGCCACAATGAGATCACACTACATTATGAATTGGCTGAAGTCGAGAATGTGAGTTATTGAATTTCTATCGAATGATATAGTGCTCACTACTGAGCTTAGCTCTAGAGGATCCCAACTTGTTTGGGGTCGTGAGTTCAGATTTTTCAAGGGTACACATCCAGAAGGATACTGTTCCTTTGGTTTTCCAATGGAATAATACCTTCAAATCCTAATCTTCTCCACTACTTCTAATACTTCTACTATCTCTACCACTATTGGATTAGAACTGACCATTGCATCTCTTTGGTAACGTGTCCTGGCAACCTGAACTGATGTACTTACGAACGAAGTTCTACGTTGTAATTGACTGACCGAACTCACCACTCTACATCAGCTTTGTTGACTACGAGAAACCATTTGCTAGCACGGACAGGACAACACCATGTAGGCTTCTTCGACACTACGGCGTGCCTAAGACGATAGTCATCATACCGAATTCTTAGGATGGATCAAACTGCAAAATAGTGTACGAAGGACAGCTGAAGGACTCTTTCGGCGTAAAGGCAGATGATTACTCACAGCCTTGCTCTTTCTCAGTCATTTACAGTGTGGACCTTCGTACATGAGTACATAAGTTCCGGTTAACGTACATCGTCAGCACAGAGAAGAGACTGTCAGTCCAAATCAGATAGTGGTAGCGATAGTAGAAGCATTAGCAGTAATAAAAGAAGAATAGGGTTCGAAGACATGATTCGAGAAGTGTAATTCAGTGAGACAAAGGTAGAGGTGTTGACGAATCCAGATCATGATTTGAGAGAACACAACGAGTGGATGCACCTGCTCCATTTCAAACGGTTTTGAGCCATATCGTTCAAGGTATCTAACCATCGGTGACTTTAGTCTCTCGAACCCCAACCAGATAGCCTACATCTACCAGCATAACTCAATCCACTTGTCAGTGGCTTCATGAACTTCTGCCATGTTTTGGCTTGGCCGCTTCTTACTTTCTTCCAGCCTATTCACATACAGCACTAAACATCGCTAGTCAAGGCAGACGGTGCTTAGACAGACACAACGCATGTCCCAACCACCTCAACCGATGGAGTTTCACTACTTCATCAATTGATCGACCATCCCTAACTAGAACACGTTTCATGGTGATCAACTGGATTATGAAGACGTCAACATCTGGAGGGAAGTATGGTATACAGTGGACAGCTAGGATATATATGGACAATCTGGACTTCGCAGATGACCTGACTCTCCTATCGCACACGCAAGAGAAGACGACCAGTGTAGCAGCATCCTAGGCAACAACAGACATCCACATACACAAAGGGAAAAGCAAGACTCTCCGATACAACACAACATGTGCCAACCAAATCACTCTTGATGGAGATGCCTTGGAGGACGTTAACACCTTTCCACATCTAGGCAGCATTATCGACAATCGATGTGGATCTGATGCAGATGTGATGGCTTGGATCGGGAAAGCAAGGGATGCATTTCTACAAGTGAACCACATCTGGAACTCAAAACAACTATCAGTCAACACCCGAATCTGGATCTTCAATACAAATGTCAAGACAGTCGTACTGTATGGAGCGGAAACTTGGAGAACTACCAAAGCCATCATCTAGAGGATAAAAGTATTCATTAACAGCTGTCTACGCAAAATACTTCGGATTCGTTGTCCAGACACTGTCAGCAACAACGAACTGTGGGAGAGAATAAACCAGATTCCAGTGCAGGAGGAAATGAGGAAGGAGCGGTGGAAGTGGATAGGACACACTGCGAAAAGCACCTAACTGCGTCACAAGACAAGCCCTCACATGGAACACTCAAGGTGAAAGGAAAAGAGGAAGGCCAAAGAACACATTACACCGAGAAACAGAGTAAGATATGAGAAGAATGAACAAAAACTGGACAGAATTAGAGAAGGAATCCCAAGACGAAGTAGGTTGGAGAATACTGGTCGGCGGCCTATGCTGCATCGGGGGTAACAGGCGTAAGTAGGTAAGAAAGTAATGAATTCAATAGACTGGAGTAAAGCTGGAAAATGGAGCTCCACAGTTTCTAGTGACAAACAACTACATCATCTACCATTTGTTTTCTGAGGAAAATTGGGGCTTATATGCAACATTGGGTTAGAATCAGTTCGTCAGTCAGTCAAAACGTATAACTCAGTACGTACGTACCTCAATTCAAGTTGCCATAATACATTAGCAAACAGATGCAATTGTCGATTCAAATCCCATTGTACTAGAGGCATTAGCTGTCATTGAGAAGATTTAGGTTGGAAGATAGTATTTGAGAAGTATCCGGTTGAAATAAATTTAAAAAGAGAAAAAAGAGTCAGGAGGAATTCAGATTACAACTCGAGAGAGCGCAAACAATGGATGCACCTGCGTCACTGCAAACGATTTTGAGCCATGTCGTTCAAAGTCTTTAACCATAGGTGACCCTCGTCTCGCGGACCCCAACTAGTTAACATACATCTGCCAGCATGACTCAGTCCACTTGTCAGTGATTTCGTGGATTTCTTAAATGTTTCGGTCTGAACTATCCTAGCTTTCTTCCAGCTCACTCCGTCATCACAAAACATCGCTCTTCGAGGCAGTCGGTGGTTGGGCATGCGTAACACATATTCCCAACACCTGAATTGATTCACTACCTCATTTATTGATCTGCCATCCTTACCTAGAACCCGTTCCCTAGCACGAACATTGCTTACTCGGTGGGCCCATGATGCACGAGCAATGCTTTGGAAACACCTATGATCGTAAACCAGAAACCTACGAGTATCCTCCACTCTTACCAGCCATGTTAGGCGTCTACGAAATCTTTCATTCGGTTTAACAACTTGCTGTTAAAGACTTTTCCTGGAATTGAAAGGACAGTGATCCCATAGTAGTTCTCACACTTGCTGAAATCTCCTTTATTTGGTATCTCGATCAGGTATCCTTCTTCCTAGTCTGATGGCATTTGTTCTTCCTCCCAGATGTTGCTGAAGTATGTGGAGTATCTCTGCAGTTACTGTTGCATCTGATTTCAGTGCATCAGCTGGAATTTTATATGATCCTGCTGCTTTGCCGCTCTTGATTTGTCTGATGGCCATGCTGATCAACATTAATCTGGAGATCCGTAGGTGCGGCTTCGATGGTGAGTGAGGTCACTGGGACCGGTTGATTCAATAATTCTTCAAAGCTTTCTACCCACCTGTATCGCTGTTCTTTTCCTTACTTTTCACTGGTTGCTCTAGTTTACTAGATTTTTTAGTGAGCTTCTTTATTGTATCGTATAGTTGTTTCACGTTTACTGCTAATGCAGACTTTTCTGCTGTCGTTGCTGGATCTTCCACATATTTACTTTTGTCAACACTGATGCTCCTCTTTACTTGCTTGTTTGCTTCTGTGTATTCAGCTTGTGCCTCGGTTTTTCCTGCTGTTGTTCGGCTGATATTGATTGCTGTCTTGTTCTTCCTTCCTTGAATCTTATCCAGAATATCCCCAGAGAACCATTCCGTGACGGAGCTTTTTGTGGCTTAGAACCTCATGACATACTGAATTCATTGTTTCCTCAATCCTATTCCAGTTGCTCTCCATTCCTTATTCAGAAACCGGAATGGAAAGAAGATATGCAATCATGATAATTTGAGACCGAAATCGGGGCTTTGTTGGATCAGCTACTTATACCATGTACTCGGAACACTGCTTATTCACTGAACTTGATATACTCACTATATTATGGTATGATTACTCGCGCTAGTACAAAGGGAGTAGTATTTCCCTTTCAGAGTTACATTCATAGTTCTCATCGTTATTACTCATCAGCACCACTGAATTAATTTCAGTTGAAGTAACACCAAGAGTAGTTTCTTCACAAAATTTCGCATGTATTTTATCGAGCATATTGATTTGTATTCTGCTTTCAAGACGTTTGCACTTAACTGTTCACGATTCACTTCTTTCTGGTTATCAATTTTTGTTGTCACGTGTCTATGTGTTTGAGCCATTTGGAAACCTATTTTTGATGACTAGACAGTGTTGAAAAAGCATGTGGCGAACCACAGGCTGTCGAAACCCTGTGCAAAATGGCAAGCAGTACGTTTGCGAGTATCTAAAACCTTCAGCACTCAAGCAGTTTAGCAACAACGAATATGAGTGCTTGTGTTTGCAATCATGCTCGGATGCAAAAAGCTTGCTATCGAAATCCATCGCAGAGATGGACGCTGCAAAAAGGCACAATAACGAGCATAGTCAAGATGGGCTTAATGATGCTTGGTCTATCGATGCACGAATAGATGTCCAGTCAACCGAATCACGCCCAGAGCCTATTGACTTAAGTGACCTCAAGGAGAAAGGACTGACTTCAAGAAAGCAGGCTTTTTCTGTGCCCCGTCTTTTAAATAGTGGTAGTTAGGTAGCATCTAGTAAACCAAATCGTAAGGCTAGGTCCGTTTCCAGCAGAAAAAAACAGCATAACCACCTAAGTCGTCGTTAATCACTCTAGCAATTATAGTGGGACAACCGAGTAAGTAATGCTGTTGTTAGGAAACGGGTGCTAGTTAAGGATGGCAGGTCAGTAGACGAAGTAATGAAACTTCATCAGTTGAGGGGGTTGGGACATGTGTTACGTATACCTAACCACCGACTGCCTCGTCGAGCTGTTTTGCGATATAGGAATAAGTTGAACGAAAGCAAGAAGCGGACAAGCGAAAACATGGCAGAAATCCATGAAGTCATTGACGAGTGGACTGAGTCATGTTGGTAGATGTAGGCTACCTGGTTGGGGTCCGCGAGATGATATTAATCGATGGGTAGAGACCCTGAATGACATGGCTCAAAAACGTTTGCAATGGCGCACGTGCATCTATGAAATTCTAACCTGAATTGATCATCACCTCTATCTTTCTCTTCCTAAATTTACCTCACTGAATTATACTTCTTCAATAACATCTTCGATCCCTAATCTTTCCGATTACTTCTAATACCTTTAGTACCTCTACTAATATGGGGTTTGAATTGACAATTATATGTCTGTGCTAACGTATGCTTATATGGTATGGCAACTTGAACTGATGTACTTACGTACGAAGTTCTACGTTGTAACTGACTGACTGACTGGCCTGGTATGTGACGAAATCTTAGCACGGATATAGAAGGCTTCATGAGCTTTTGTCAACTTGCGTCACTTATGGCACAGACGAGATATCCGTTTGCTGATTATAGGATAACTGTGCCGGGCAGTAGTTCGCTCCGTCCTACTTTACGGCTGTGAAACATGGTCAGTCAGAGCAGTCATCACTAAACAAGACTTGAGAAGCTTATGCTTATCTTCTGAGGCAGAGGTTAACCAGGTCACTCTAAAAGTTAACAGACGCAGAACAAATTGTTTGTCAGCTGATTATCAACCTTTTCATTGAGTAGTCAATGAAGTGAACTTGCTGACTTAACACGGATTTGGAGATCAGTCTCTCGGCACATTCATGAGAAAGCTGGATCAACTGAGAGATCATAACTTCCAGGGTGAAAACAGACCACCTAACCTCCTGATTTTCCCAAACAAACTAATTATGTGTATATCAGTATACATTACAGACGATAAAAATTGGTCGGAATGAAATAAATATTATCAAGAGTGAACACATACTGAAAGTCTACAATTCTGTTACTCATTATACTGTAACATCCAACATTTAATCACATGTTTTGCAGCTTGCTTCATCATCAGGATACATATATAGCAACTTAATTTGAAAAAAATATCGGGTTAAAGCTCTTAAGGCGGAGTATAATCCTAACTCTACAGTAGCATACTCACATCTTCAGTGTTTACCATTCACGTGCAAACAGACGCGACAATACAAATCACTTTCAAACTAAACCGCGCTTTCTCACCACTACCATGAAAGCCTTGGCTGATGATGGCCGATTGTATGAGTATTAGGTAGCTTGCTTTTCAAGAGTATGTGTCAATATCCAATACCTTATTCACAAGCTAGTAGGAACTCATTGATTTCTTTGCGCTCGACTCTTGTTCTTTCGGTAGAGTTCCAGGTGATTAGAAGCCACTGGACTTTCTGATTCTAGTCAGTTTGCAGTTGTTTGCGTGTTTGTTTGTCTCGTGATTTGTCTCCGCTCTTCATCATACTTAGAGCCAGGTAGGATGGGTTTGTGAGCATCCATAATTTCGGTAGATGTTGCTGAAATCCACTGATTCTTAATACCATTGTTGCTAGGGATAAGCTGATATCTGAACATAGCTGCAACAGACGGTCGCCACAATCTGTTCCATGAGTCGCGACACCATAAGATCCACCCAGATGTCTTTCGTTTTCGCTTAGTCTACCTAATTGAGCATTAACGTCACCCGCCACTATTACTACATCAGAGTACCTAACGTTTTGGAGGTGCGAAAGCTTCTTGTGAAACTTATCTTTTACCTCATCTGAGCTGCAGTCAGTGGGAGCATAGGCAGAGACGACGAAGAGGTGACTGCGAGTGTCCCTATCTTTCGGAGTTCTTACTATCCAGTCTAGTCGGACAGCTCACAAGTGACTGTCTACTGGGACACAGTTTAAGAGAGCTAGTTCTGCTTTAAAAATACTATAAACGTTCCTAGAAAACTCACTCACATCTCAACAGCTTAGTGCGTTAGTAACTTAGGCAGTTTGATAGCTGATATAAATCCTTGCAGTTTATCTACAGAGTATCCAGTACTTCTTTAAAAGCTCTTCT